TATTCTTGCTTTAAACTAATTTACTATTTTGAGAATATCTAAATCTTTTACCTAGTTGCTGCGGATTTACTCGCGTAATAGTTGAAGCGCTTATTATACAATAACATTGTTAATTATAAATGTTTTTGTTATATTCTGTAAATCATTTTTAATTATTTTTAGATTATTTTAGAGACTTGCTTTTTCATATTTTTTTTTTTTTTTAAAAAAAAAATAATTATAATAATAACAAAATGAAGAATTGGAATTTAGCTATAATTTTATAATTATAAAAACGTCATACAAGTTACGAATAAACGAATGTTTATTATAAAATGCAAAGGTTTATTTATCAAATATATGATAGAACGTTCAAACTTAATTTAAAACTAAAGCTTGTACAAATGGTGTTCTGGGTCAGTATGCTAAATGTGTGAAGAGTTTTGAATATTGTAAATGAATTTTGTATTAGCAAAAAAAAAAAAAAGGAAAAAGCATCTCAATTTATTGCTGCGGATTATAAATTTAAGAAAAAAAGTTTGTTTTTTACATCAATCTATAAAATACAAATTTCCATTAGGATCGCGTAGCGCTATATGTATGCGGAGCTAAATTACTTTTATTTTTTTTTTTTGTCATTTGGGATGATGGTGGTATTGAATTTAAATTTGAGATAAAACTTTTTTTTTTTTTTTATCAAAATACTCTTTTTATTTAAAAAAACTGAAACGTAATATATGTACAGTTGCGTCAGAACCGATTAAAAGACTTCTTAGATTTAAGATGCAATAACCGTTTAATTACAAAAGTTGAAGAAATTTTATTTATATTTTATTTTGTTTTTATTATAAAAATTTTTTCAATATTAAAATTGAAATATCATTTTAATGTTAATAAATTGTGTTTTTGAGTGATGATTCCCAACTTTATTAGTTATAAAATTTATAAAAAATTTTTAACTGTATAATTTCAAATCGGGCGTTACATATTGACGCAATCGTACAAGGAATTTTATAATTTTTCTTACTATCGAAATACATACTGTAAATCGAAGACAATTAGAGATTTAGAAAAGATAAGCAAAGTGCTAGAAAATTTTGGAGTAACGTTTTTCTCATTAATATTGAATAAATGCTTTAAACATCGTTATGTTGAGTGGGTTGAAGTACTTGTTCATAGGAAATTTTTTTACGAATAGTTCATAATATTTTTTCAGTAAACTTTAGAACCGTGAGAACTTCCTTTTAGCATATTTCTTTCTAAAAATATCATCACTAACTTTTTCTTCTATTTCTTCAGGTAAAACATCCACGTATTCTTTTAAGATGTGAAAATTTAAAAAAAAACTTTCATTGTAACGCATTCCTGCATTTTTCTTCACGATGACGACGTCATTTTATGCAAATATCAAGCGAAAATTGTATAGCTACGCTATTACTTCCAACAACAAGTCTTTAATATTTTTCGCACAAACAAGTAGATTTATTAATAAGAAATGATAGTTTCTGTATACGTTGCGAGTCAGATGTAGATTTGACCAGTTGATATGCGTCATATGACTAATGCTGGCAAAACCTTCTTAAGGCATTATAAGATCAGCCCAAAATGGGCCCATAATTTAGGCCAGTTTGCATCTGACGAAAAATCATTGTTAACTCAACATATACACGGAAACATTCTATGATAATTATTTATAAGTATAACAATAAAAATAAAATAAAATAAATGAATAAAGTATAAATACACCCAATACACCAAAATAAAAATTCATGAGAGAGGAAGAAAGAATATCTTTTTTTTAGTACTTAATTCTGGCCGGAATTAAAAGAACTTCCTCCTTGTTTGAGGTTGATGAACTGTTGTATTTGGTTGAAAAGTATTAATCATATTCGAATTTGAACTACCAATATTGTTAGAGACCAAATTATCGGTAAGGAATTGTCTCAAATGGAACTCAAGATTTTCTTTGTGTCTATTAGAAAAATCCAAGGGTGATTGTTGTTGCAGTTCGCTTTGTCTTAAACCTAAAATATTTAAGTTTAAATATTGAACTATATTTGAGTGTGAAATCATT